TCATTTAAGAGATTTTGATGATGAGTAAAAATGGCACATTCCTACTCTTGAAGTTTTCATTCAATTCCTCTGCTGCAAGACTATCCAACAGAGGCTATACATTTTATAATGGCTAGAGTCAATTGGATTATGTGCAGGGAACTTTGCTTGGTAGTGCACAATTCAAGCATGGTAACCTCTTTCATGATGTCCCAGTACTATACACAAAACACACTTAAAATTGTTTTTAATTCTAGGTATGATGAAGAGTTAGCTACATCTGATGCTTTATCACAAGAAATGAAATCTAGAATGGGAGCTGCTGCAGGATTTAGAGGGGCTCGAGATAGAAGAACATCTACATGGAAATGAATGTAAAATTCACTGTCTTTTGGAGACTTTCTGTGATAATTTATTGCTTGTTCTCAAGATAAAATAAAATCTTGATAAAATTACAAGGACTGCAATGCATTGAAACATCATCTTTATCATACTGCCAGAAATAATGACTGCACTTCACAAAATAAATTGCCCATTTCATTACTAAATTAAAGTATTTTTTATTCTTTTTTTGTGTTCTGTTTTTTTTTTTTTTAACAAACATACAATCGTGTACTTATATTTGCTTTTTTGAGCCATAAAATACTTTAAAAAGAATGCAAACATGGCTTTAATTGGACAAATGCTGTGATATATTCCTGAATATGAGGAGTAAGAAAAGTGATTAAAACCATTAATAGGCCATACATTTAGTGTGCTCATTAAATGCTTACATCATTACTGCTGATCTCTCCTGTGGATTAATAACAATGGAGCTAGAGTATTAACAAACTTTGTAGGATTATATTATTTTATTTGACTCATCTAAGTAGCATTACAGGTGTTACAGCTTAAAATATCTTCCAGGCAAAAACATAAAAACAACAAAAAATGAGCCTTTTTTCCTGCTACACCCATTAGAACATAAACATTGATGAACTTTTAGAAAGCTGTACACAACAAGACAACAGCAGTTTGAAAAAATATGATAAAAAGCTAACAAATTATAAATAGCCATTGGTTGAATATATATACAAATTTATTACTGGTTCAGAAACTAAAAGCATTCTTTCTCACAATATGTCTGGAATGAAATTCTAAGATTTTTCGAAATATTGAAATCAATCCTAGAGTTCTATCCTGATATTTTGTAATGAAGATACTAAGGCTAGATATGAAATGGCACTTTGACACATGCATAATTAATTAAGAAAGACTGTTAAAAACTTGTTGGACACAGGCTTTAAATAATCTATATATGTGAACAGGAAACACAATTCTCAAGAAACTGTTTATAATTTCATGAAACTTTATCATTGATTCTGAAATGAGCTATTTCAAATTGAGTATGATTTGAATTGCTCTTGATAAACTGAGCCAAAAAGAGTTAGCTAGCACATGAGAGTTATCTCCCTTGCCTCAAAACCATTTATCTTTTGCATGAAAAAATAACAGCTAAATTCATTCTTTTGAGCAAGTAAACTGTATTCCTGCTCATATACCATAAAATAATAAGATAATTCATGAGTCTATTGCAGAAGATTATAAGAGATAAATAGAGAAAGCAAAACTAAAGACAAGTTTATAAGCTCAATATTTGATACAAGCCTAATATTAAATATTTCATACATACTTTGGTTCCAATATAATATTTGATAAACAAAACAACTAGACATTAAAGAAATTGTTACCTGTAAATCAATTGAAGCTGTTGAAAGATTTGGACCCAAAATGAGTCCCAAATGAATGCGTACCAAATGTACACTTGAATTCCACGTTCAAATTGGTGTCCCATCACTAAGTGGTCAGCAACTAACAAATGGAAATGGGTGAATTTGGCATCACTGACAGCATGCACAACATTCCAAATGTAGCAGACTTACAGGTAACACTTCCTTTAAGAACACAGTAATAATATCAGACTAATAACATCTATACGAAACAAACTAATACTGACAAGAATTTCTCTACATTCTCAAAATTTGTACAGTATGAGCAAAAACAATAAATTAAACAGCTTGTGTTGAATTAATTAGTAAATTTACATTATGCTACAATCATATCATAACCTCCTAGGAAATGTCAAGTCTTAACAAATTACAGATCTCACTGTTCCCCCAAATTATCTAAAATAAGGAATTCTCCATCTATAAGATATTGTTGAGTGGTCATTAATTTTGAATTGATTCCAAGCAATCTTGCCAAACACTATATTTATTTAGAAAAATTTGAAAAGCAACAATGATAGTGTACGATCTTACGTTAGACATTTCCCACTATGCAATGTTTCTATGCTATTCTCCAAATGAATACTGGATAACAGTCGGCAACTTACACACTATATAATTACATGGCTATGAGCCTTGTTTGTTTCATACATAATTCTTATCTGGATCTAACGAACACAATTCTTATCTGGATCTAACAATTTTAATTGGGTTGTACTAACTGTCACAATAATATGCTTTGAAAACTATCTTTGAACTCTTAGTAATCTCTTAGAAAATTTTGCTGGAAGAAATGTTACTAGTATGGAATGTGTGTGAAACAAACAAGGCTACAATGAAAGAAAAAAATGAAGAAGTGAGTTATTGCACAAAACATTTTCTACAAATGGGCTAGATGGATGAACTTTGCAAAGGAATTATTACTGACAGTCTTAATGAAAAGTCTCAAGATATTGTGAAAAAAATTATACCAATTTTGCCCAAAATTACTCACAAATATAGCAAATATCCCAAAAGCTTGATGTTATACAAGTGAGTATTGTAGAAACAACGAGAAGACTATGTATATCTATATTAAATATCAACATATAAATAGGATACTATCAACTAAGAATTCAAACTACAGTTTATCAAACGGTACTAGTGACTATTATATGGAGATGAAATGTTGAAAGTTGATGAAATAACTAGTTTTAAAAATGAAATCAGCATAATTTTTTTTTACTTTCATCTCCATCTTTGAAATTTCTAACAATTTACTGTTAAATACACTTAATCTGAGAACCAATTTGCCCCCTTTGCCCTACATAAGAATTCAGTGCCTGCTTGCCCTTTTATATTTACCCAATTTGTTCTAATATCAATGAGATTCTACAAGACATTTGTACATTTACAATTTACATACATTACATAATAATATCAGAACATCTAAAAAACAAACACAGAACTATAAAAGGCTTGTGGTACAAAATTTAGAAAAAACATTGCATTCACAGTTACCAATGGTTTTTGACAGTTAAAAATATTTACACTACAGATATATACATATGCTTTGAATTTTATTTGAAACAAATTAAGGTTTATTTCATTATTTTAAGCAGACTTAAGGTTTATTCAGATGGTATAGACTATTTCTTAGCCTCAAGTGAACTAAAAGGAATTTCATTCAATGCTAATTATACACTTGAAGACTTCTTAATATTCCACTAATGAACTGGACTTATTTTATGGGTATGCCCAAATTTGGGTTTGTCTTGATTCATCAACATCTCAATGATGGTTTGTCCAAATTCATTGAGATTTCAATGTTAGTTTATCTTAATTCATTGACATATCAGTGTTGGTTTGTCTTAATTCATCGACATCTCCATGTTGATTTGTCTTAATCTATTGACATCTCAATGTTGGTTTGTCTATCTTCATTGACATCCCAAAGTAAGTCGTATTTTGTCAGATTGGGTTTTTGTTTAAAAACAGACTACCACAAGGATGGTTTGCCTTAATATCCAGTTGGTTTGTCTTATTATCATAATAATGGTTTGTCTTATTGTATACAGCTCTGTAATTTATCAATCCATTCCTGAGCAGCTTTAGCATCAGTTGACATGAAGTTATAAAATCTTCTCACTGTTCGAATCTGGAAAATTAAATATTTTCATTCATTCAGACTACTTTTTGAACAATTGAACTTGAAATCACTATTATTTTAAAACACCTCGACCAATTTGAACTTTTGGTGGTTAGACTTTTCATCACAATCTCCTTAATATCCAAATCTCATGAAATTGTGGTTTTATGACTGCCACAACAGACTAGATCCTTCCATTGTGTCTGTAACTTCTAGCAGCATCAAAGAATGCTGAATATGACCAACAAAGTTACATTGTAATCTTAACAAAATGCACACAACAGCTAGACATCTGTACCAATTTGACTTACCTCAAAAAATGAATTTTCTTCAGCTTTTTTTGGAGCTCCAGGAAGATTTTTCTGGGGTATAACTGATTCGACATCAGCTAAATTAATTAATCCTTTATAACTAGAATCTTCCATAGCATCATAATAACGTAACTAAAATACAACAAAATAATATGTAGTCATTTCAATAATATTCTGTTATATTTCAATGATATTCTGTAATATTTCAATGATATTCTGTAATATTTCAATGATATTCTGTAATATTTCAATGATATTCTGTAATATTTCAATGATATTCTGTAATATTTCAATGATATTCTGTAATATTTCAATGATATTCTGTAATATTTCAATGATATTCTGTAATATTTCAATGATATTCTGTAAAATTTCAATGATATTCTATAAAATATCAATGATATTCTGTAAAATTTCAATGATATTCTGTAATATTTCAATGATATTCTGTAATATTTCAATGATATTCTGTAATCGATGAAATTTCTGTAATATTTCAATGATATTCTGTAATATTTCAATGATATTCTGTAATATTTCAATGATATTCTGTATATTTCAATGTTATTATGTAAAATTTCAATGATATTCTGTGATATTTCAATGATATTTACACATTTACATATAACAATGTCATCAATAGTCTTACCTCATGTTTCATAGAATCTAACACAAACCATCTTTGTTTCCAACCTTTCAATAAAGCTCCTTGTTTATATAGATAACCTTCATGGGTACGATTTTCACCAATATTAGTTGAAAAATTCTCATACATAGTTGTTGTACCTACAGAAATAACAACATGAATTGAATACATAGTTGTTGTACCTACAGAAATAACAACATGAATTGAATACATAGTTGTTGTACCTACAGAAATAACAACATGAATTGAATACATAGTTGTTGTACCTACAGAAATAACAACATGAATTGAATACATAGTTGTTGTACCTACAGAAATAACAACATGAATTGAATACATAGTTGTTGTACCTACAGAAATAACAACATGAATTGAAGTTGCCTTTGATTTGCTCTAATATAATTTGCCTGACATAATTTTGATAAGAGATTAGATTTAGATAGAGTTGACCAGAAATGGTACTTCACATTTGGACACATATATAACCCAATTACTTGGGCAATAGGGTAAATTTTTATCTGTATGCAATAGTAGGCAACAGATACTCATAGACAGCAACAGAGCATTTGAATTTGTTTTTCTGAAAGTGTCCATTGTAAATTATAAAACTTACCAGCACTAGTAGAACTGGCATCAGATCCTGCAACTCTGGAGATATTGGTGCTACTGGCATTAGGATCTGTTGTGACTGATTTTAACTTGGTACAATTTTTAGGTACTGATGGTTGACATTTCTCATGACAATTATAACCACAATCTATACAATGCATTCCTGAAATAAAAATACATACAGATTGAAATCTAGAATAGTTCCCATTGAACACAATTACATGGTTTTTGTTTGCTTAATGGACAATACAGAAATTCATTTGATAAACTTTTTCAGAAACAAAATGTTTTTTGAAATGTTAACTCTTCTTCAATATAAATATTTTCAATGTAAATTGTTTCTAAGCTACTTTAAAGCTTATTTATATAGTGAAAACCCCTTCTGTAAGTGGCCCGTTTTTGCATACAAAACCTTGTATTATACACAAAACTATGCTATTATTTAGAGACAATAATGATAAAAATATCTTACCAGTTTTAGACAGGCCCCATAATACATGAGAACAATAATCACAGTAGGCAGGAGTAGTGTATGTATGTCTCTCAAAACGATGAGGTTGACTAAACATTCTGGCAGCTTCACCTAACATTTTACCCTTGACTAATATCTCTAACGTAGAGCGTTTATGTATTGAACGTCCATGTGATTTCACTAGCTGGGTGTTAAATGATATTTGTCTATGAACACTATCACGTTGAGGTGATTCTAATTTGTCCCAAATCACTTTCCACTTCTGAGGTAAATGACCCAGATCAGTTTCAAGTTTATGGATTTCCTGAAAAAAAAAAGAACACAATTTCAAAAATAAATCTTTTTAGATTTCAAATGGGTTAATTTCCAAAATTTGGACGTCTGAATTGAGGGAATAATTTGTTTTTTAAAGAATTACCTGAAATTGGAATCTAAAATAATTAGGTTCCTGAAGAAGAATGTTGTCATAGCAACCGTTTAAGATTTTACGTTTGACAATTCCCATGGCCTCAGCTTCATTATCTTCTGATTGGTGTAATTCTTGATTAACCAGTTCAATATCATATGATGGACCATGGCATAAATCTTCATTGAGATAATAACTCCAGATTTTGAGATTCGAAATGTTAGAATAAGGACGCATAACCTACAAAAAATAAAAATCTCTAGAGGATTTGAGTTCTTGGAGAAAATGGTCTTCAATTTGATATGGCTTTTGATATTGGATTTTCAAATTGCTTTAAACCACAAAGCTACTCAAAGCTAAAAAATAAAGTGAACAACTTGCTTGCTTGTGTATAAGTTAGATTGTTCCTTAAACTGGCCTTGTGTTAATTTCTACATAAAACTACCTAAAACTAAAATGGACTGATCCGCTTTATGTTTTTAAACTAACTTGGTTGTGAGCAGAAATATCTTTGCTTGACAATAGGCTAATGCTAAAAAAATATAAGACAAACCTGTTCTTGATCTTCAGGGCTGTACATAAAGTTACTAAAAATAGGTGATTTTCTATGTTGTTTTTCAATATAGTCCCATATAGAATGACCAACAGATTGGTTAAGATGTTTGGGAGAATAACCAATAATCTCATCCATCTCATCCACTTTTGGTGATTTCTTCTCTTCCTGTAACCACCCAGCTTCAACACGTTCAAATTCGTTGTCTAACATGAATGTTCGGAAGCGATTTGACACATAATGGAAGGCGAGAAATTTGATAAAATATTGGTTGAATTCAAATGATAATGGGAACTGATTATGAATCTGAAATGCAATGACAAGGCAATATTAGTATAATCTATCTTTTATTGAATGGACCAAGAAAGAAGGAGGCATTAAAGACGTCAAGGTGGCGATTTTGCTGAAGTGACACGCTGTTACCTTTGTTTTTTTGCATTATGAGCCTCATTTTGGATTCAAAATGGCTGACGCATGAAAAAGGTCTATAGAACCTTGATGGATATTTTTTCCTTCTTATTTTACCAAAGATTGGGTAACCAGAGTAAGAATCTTACCTGATGAACAACATCTAAAAACTGTAAAAATAAAGGAGCGAAACCACTGGCTTGATTTGCTGCTGTCTGGTTACTACGATGAGTAAATCTATGACCAAATGATATCCACTCTTTCTCTATTAAAGCTTTAAAACCCTCTATAGTACGATAGTAAGGATCTAGTAATATTTCAGCTATAGCTATCACCTACAATCACAAGACATAACACAAATTTAAACATTCAGACCATATTTGTTTGATTAAACTGTCCCCAAGGTCATTTTTCATCCAAATAGCTTCAAGCTCTTGAGTTAAAATCAGTTCTGGGGTTGTCACTTTTTCTTTCTTTTTCCCATTCAGTATCTCATTGCTTTGAATAGGTCTCTTCACTGTGTAAGTTCTAAGAACTTTCTTGGTTTATCTCACCTTGTTTGGCAGCAAGTTAAGGATTTATTTCCATAAAGTACATGCTTCAGGGAGATACAACAACACCATCAATGACAAAAATTAGAAATCAAAAACCCTGTAATTTTGACTCAACTTCAAGCTTGAACTCTTCAAATATGAAGGTAAAATGAGTTACCAATCCAATCTCAAATCTTTGAGCTGGTATGGTAGTAAATGATTTGATATGATTATGAGCTAATACTGACCTGTGTGGTGACATCCCAACCATCTTCTAAACAAATCATAACAGATGATCCCTGTACATCTAATAAATCTACAGTAGCACCAGCTAGTTGTAATATAGACTGAATCTACAATTTAACAGAAAAAATCTTTTTACTACCATTTCCTTAACAGGTAACAACCAAAACAAGTGTTTGCTGACGTCACTAATTGCAAAATGTGGTCTTTCCCGATTAGTGACGTCATCAAACACTTAGTTTTAGTGGAATTGCAAGAACCATAGACATTTGATTGAAAATTAAAATGGTGCAAATTGATGTTATCAGTGTCCCCTGATAAACATAGAAAATTAACCTGTATAAAATCCCTTTAATATCCAACAAATAGTTATGGAAAAAAATCGCATTTTAAGTATATCATGATGTTGCTCTCACAAAATAACTTTTTTTCTACACAAGGCAAATGAATATTTCAATGTTAAAATTATGATACGTCAAATTGTTTTAGAGAAGGCACAAAAATGTATATGTAGGTTAACCAAATCACTTTCAGTAGGATATCAGGTTGTTACTAATCACAAAACGATATACATAACTCATTTTTGAGCAAAATGTTGGATATTAAGATTTTACTTTAGATGCCTCCTTTGTATATATTTAGCTGAAGCACCTACCTGTAACAGCCATTCTGACTCTTCTACAGCCTTATAAAAACCTTCACCCTGAACAAAAGCTGTACTTGGTACACAGGCTCTCATCAACTTTTTAAAACTAGCTTTAACATGACGTACTTCATAGAAATCAACCGGTATAAAATCACATTTAGGGAATGATTCAACCTTAATACCCTGTCAACAGAAAAAATAACAATGTCAACTTTACAGTGTTTACACACTTCAGTTTTGGTCTCAAGACGGCCTGCTTGAACATTCATCTGTTAAAGACATAGCAAGCCAATCAAATTTCTTCCCTCTCTAACGCTGAGATTTTGTGACGTGAACAAACTAGTCTTATGATATACTGGAATGCACCTTTTGTTTTCATCACAAAATTACAGCCTGGAAGTGGGTAGGAAAGTTTGATCTCATTTTTATTAGACTGATGGATAAATCTTACTATTTCTGACATGTGATACATTAAGTTGATAAATGTCAGAAATAGTATATCTATATATCTTGTGCTTCAGCACTTCAGCTTCTTATTTGGCTAACTGGACAATCAAGACACCTTCTAAGATAAAGCATTTCTTCCTCAACATCATATTTAAAGAAATATGAGACATTGTAGAAACAATTGTGTATAATTACTTAATTAGATAATTGAAAACATTGGAAACATGTTGGTTTTGTTTTTACAATGTCAATTGTTGAAATGTCATAGTGTTATTTTTCTTTTCTGAAATTGCCATTTTGAATAATAAAACAGTGAAGATGGTATTTATTATTAAATGTCAAGTATGCAAGGTTTCCCCAGTCTTTACAAAATCTCCACGCAATGAAGTTTTCTTTAAATGTCAGTTTATGTTTCTGAAGAATGGAATTGTATCTATAACCTCATTTCCACTGAGAATTGACTACCGTTTAATCGGAAGTGAAATATTTGTTACCAGTACGCCCCCTATTGCCAAACGAGATAAAGCTGTTTTTTGCATTTCAATTGAGTAAAGCATAAAGCTAGCTTTCATTTGGCCCTTGATAAATAGGCCAATTTGACAAAAAATTGTCGAAGAGAAAATGTTAAGCTTTCATGATATATTTCGGTCCACCAGAGATATTACAACTACAGATAGATCCATGTCTAATTTTATGTTTGAATTCTTGAAAAATATGATAATTTCTTACCTTCATTTGTGTTTTTTCACCGAGAACATACAATCGAACTCTATGTAGATGTTGAACTGAATTATTGATCAAATCTCCTCGACTATCTAAATTAGCATTACTAGATCTGGAATCTTGGCCTGATGAGGAAAAGCGTGATTTTTCACGTAAACTACCAATACGTTGTAAAGCTAGAACAATGTAAGGGTTAAAGTAAGCTCAAAGCACCCCCAAAATAGCTAAAACTAAGCTACTTGTTAATGCACTGAGTCTAAAATACCAAACATGAAAATTGAAAACTAGAAAAATGAATAAAAACCTGATAATTCTTCTTTAAAAAGTTAAATAAAAAATATAAAATTTCATGAAAAAACTTATATATGTATATAGGAATAATACCATAACAGGAATATAATATACTCTTTATATTAAAATTAATCTCTACAAGCTATTAAATATTTTGATATCATTTAAACATTAGTGATATATTATCAAATGATAACAATTATATTAATTGAACACAAAACAATACTTGAACATAAAACAGACTATGATATGATAAAATACTAGTTCTGTCCCTTAATCCCTTCCAACAACAATCAAGTATGTAGTGAAAAATCCTTTGCCAGAAGATGACACTAAATCAGGTTTTCTGTTATCAATCTTAAATTGATAAGTGACCATCATAAATGCAAGTTTAGCAACCAGTTATGTCAAAGAAACTATGAAAGGTGCACGATGGTGAATGAAAAAAGAAGTTGAAGATTACTCTTTTGACTCATGGCAAGATAGAATCCCTGGCTACTTCAGCTACCATCCAACATGTCCAGAAAATGTAAAATATTTTAACTAATGTGGATGCATTCTTCTTAAATCAATGAAATGAATGGAGTTTTACATCCTAATTTTCTGCACCATGTGGGCTAATGAAGACAGGCAACACCATGCAGCGTACAATGATTTAAATTTTGCCAGGACAGCGGCATTAGCCTGCTCTTTTGGCATTCTTTTTTTGCGCTGTAAAAAAAAAGTTACCCAAACAAACAAGAATTCTATTTCACTGAAGTTTCACCATGCAACTGCTAACATAACTTTAGGAATGGACGCAAGCATTCTGACTGGATAAGACAATCAAATTCAACAAGACAGCAAGAACAGACAGCACAAAATAAAGCATCTTATGATAGACAATCATAAATTACATCACAATTCACACTGATCTAACTCAATCGAATATTATTTTATTTAATTCCAGGCTTTTGATCCTTTAGAATAATATGTGGCTTCTTTACAGAAAAGTTAAAATCATTTAATCTGTTGTAAGAATATCTCATTTTTGATGCTTACTTTTTTTTACGAAAATTTTATATTCATTTGACAGCAGTGTGAATTTCTGATTAAAGCTATGATTACAATTTCTTTGTTTCTTTTGTTTCATTTTTTTCATGGGTGACTTCACTATTCATACATGATTGAGAACAGTCTTTTTATGTTACGTTTCAACAAATTTGGGGCCAAATCAGGTCATACTTTATTATAATCTTTGCTAACCAATCAAAAATATTGTTAAAAGTAAAAGTAGATATTTATTGATTGGTTGAATATTTAAGTTACCTAGAAATCATTTTGATTAACTTGTTCAGATCACGGATGACAAGTGGAATAACCCATATAAAAATACCAGAAACAAACTGTCTACATTTACAATTAAATCAGATAAAAGTTAAAGGGACAGATGTGGCATTTTAGGGGGTTGATTTAGTCTTGAATGTAGTTTTCAGAAGTACTAGATATGTACTGAAATCGCATAATTCCTTCAAAATAATTCAAACTAGGAATTTTACTCAGTATTTCTATATATGTCTCTTCTATTTATCACAGAGTATCTTAAAATGATGAGTCAGCATTTAAACGTTCAAACGCAGATAATTCTAGAATAACCTGGATTTGAAGGCACAAATTTCGACGATGAGCTGATTGGCTTAGCTAAAGAATTCCTGTTTCTGAGACTAAAGTATGATTGGTCCAAAAAAATGAAGCACCTGTCCCTTTAAAGTAACCTTCTCTGCAAACAAACAGAACTATAGAAACAAAATGTTGCATTCCTTTAAGTAGACAGCTAATGAGCTAAGATGTCAATATGTTATTAGTAATTTGTAGTAAGTGTTGCATTAGATTCATAAGTTGTGCTTAAAATATTATTTATATCAGCCACAGTCAAACTGTCTCTAGAAAAGAAATGAGTTATTAAGGACATAAATGACAAGCTCTTCTCTTGACAAGCCTACAAACTCAACTTCAAGAGACAACAGTAAAGCATTTGAAGCTAAATTGAAACCTAAATTTTATCAACTCACTCATTATACAGTTAGATTTAAAGCAGGAGTTTCAAACAAATCAAAATGGACTGTGTTTATATTTTGAATTGTATCAAGATATCTTTCTTTAAACTATGAGGGTTGGTCAAAATGTTTTAGAGTTACGTCACTAATAATTATCCACAGATAACCATATATAGTGTAGCTTGTTGTTTTCTACAGCAAAGGTCAATAGCTAAGGTTGTATTTCAAAAAGACCTTCAAACCAACCTAGAGGCAAAATGAATCTAGAAAATGATTAAGTTTTTGACCTTAGAAGGAAGTGCCCCGAAGGAAATCAATGTTCAAGATGTATGGAACGAATGCACCGAGGTTATTCTACCATCAAACGTTGGTCAGCCCTTCATGGCAAATGCTATACTGACAGAATTGAACTTAAAACTGCTGTGGATGAGTTTTTACTTTTAGGGAGTTCTTTCTGTCAGAAATTGGGAAACTTAGAAAAGTGGGTCTCGTATACCCTGTATAATGAGTAAGACTAAGTATAAACAAACTAAATTAAATCTAGAAAAACAATCTGGTTTAGTCATCATGCTTTTTTGGGGATTTTTACTGGCATTCTAAAGATAAAATAGAAATTTACTCTGAACGCCTCTTCTAGCTCTCCTTGGCATTGTTAAAACTGAAAATAAAAATATTGTTCATGAACATCACCAAGATATCATGTCATGTAACCAAAACATCTAACACAGTAACTAAAATATCTTGTCATCTATAGATACACAGTAACCAAGATATGTTGTCATCCAAAGATACACAGTAACCAAAATATCTTGTCATCTAAAAATACATAGTAACCAAGATATTTTGACATGTACAGATACACAGACTGTAACCAGATTATCTTTTCATCTAAATAAAGGCAATGACCAAGATATCTCGTCATTTAAAGATACACAGTAACCAAGACATCTTGTCATTTCTGGAGACACAGTAACAAAAATATCCCCTGTACACTGTAACCAAGATATCTTGTCATCTATAGATACACATTAACCAAGATATCTTGTCATCTATAGATACACAGTAACAAAGATATCTCGTGAACAATAGTTACACTGTAACCAAGATATATTGTCATTTATAGATACACTGTAGCCAAGATATCTCGTGAACAATAGTGACACTGTAACCAAGATATCTTGTCATCTATAGATACACTGTAGCCAAGATATCTCCTGAACAAAAGTGACACTGTAACCAAGATATGTTGTCATCTATAGATACACAGTAACAAAGATATCTCCTGAACAATAATGACACTGTAACCAAGATATGTTGTCATCTAAAGATACACAGTAACCAAGATATGTTGTCATCTAAAGATACACAGTAACCAAGATATCTTGTCATCTAAAGATACACAGTAACCAAGATATGTTGTCATCTAAAGATACACAGTAACCAAGATATGTTGTCATCTAAAGATAAACAGTCACCAAGATATCTTGTCATCTAAAGATACACAGTAACCAAGATATGTTGTCATCTAAAGATAAACAGTCACCAAGATATCTTGTCATCTATAGATACACAGTAACCAAGATCATCATTCTGTTCATCTACTCTTGACACTATAGGTATATCCTGAACATTGTGTAACAAAACATAAGACATCTTTATATTATCACATTTAGAATGAATTCTAAAAATAACTACCCAATATTCAACCCATGAAAACAGAACTGAAAGAGTCAAAATGGTTGTTAGTAAAGAAATTAGTAAAACCTGAAAATGAAACACATTGACAAAACAATAAATTGTTAACTTGTTAAATTTCCTCTACATTACCAAACAGATTTTTGAGATTCTCAATTAGTTCATGTATGTTTTATATATTTCTTGACGTGTGCTCCAAAATGTCTTGCAGAGTTTTGGTTCATTTGAACCATTTTTTTATATTTCACATAAAATACACATGCTTTGGCAATAAATCATAGCAAATTGACGACAAATCATAATGAATTAATAAAATATTTTGCAATAAAACAGCCACTTTAGCAAATTGATTACTTCTAGAATACGTTGACTAACCAGAGTCAGAATTAATTTTTAAAATATGTTTAAAAACATGAAAAACAACTTGAAACTAGAGTTGTCTCTACCCTCATTGAGAATCTCAAACATCATAACTATATTTTCTGTGAATGTATGTGGTGTTATAGTATATAATTTGCTCCCAGAAGCACTGGCAAGGGATATAGTATGTGAATTAGGAACAGATGAGAATAAATACAGTGTATATGAAAGCAATATTGTGTATCTTTGTGTTATTGCAGAAATGAATGTAGTTTGGAAATATCTCATAATCTTACTATTTCACAAATGTTAAGGAAAATAGTCTTTGGTTGCAAATAAGTATTGAATCATAATTTTTGGATAAAAACATTCCAAACACAAAATAATTGCCCCTTTGCAAGTCTTACTTAAAGTTAAATAGCCTTAAAGAAACATGGTGGACAAGTGCTCTATTACTTTTGTTATCCAATAGCAGGGAACTTTTGGCCAAAACATTATTTCTTAATTAATTTTGATTAAAATGCGGTAAATATTATCTTACGCTGTCGTTTTAAATAAAATAGCAAGATTATGATTGACAGGTTTTGAAAGTTGTGTAACCTACGAATAGATTTGTGGTGGTTTTTGCCAAAGCTAGCCCGAAGTCGTTGAACAGCGTGAGAGGCACCACTCTTCTTAAAGATATCACCCTCAGAAGTCAGATTTGTTGTGGCTAGAGTAGGGAAGCAAATAAAATGCAAACAGAATATTTAAGCAAATAATTAAAAAAAAAGATTTCAAATAGTTGGAGATTCAAAACTATCCATAAATTGCTAAGTAAGCAAATAGTAAAAAAACCAAAATTCCAATCCCTTATACTCAAAATTACCATTTTTTATAAAACCTCAGCCAAAACCCAAACATTTATAAGTATAAAATATATTGTTCAACATGCAAATCAAAAAAAACCATTTGTAAGCCATCCAGAAAATTTGAATTAAACAAGATTAGCAAGAACAAAAACTATCTACATGCTTTAAGGTGCCCTCACTCCGTAGTGACCACCAGTTGTGTATGGTTGCGAAAAAGAATATCAGTATATAGGGTCATATGCAGCGCTCGTACTTTACCTAAACTGTGACTAAAGTTAGACTTAAGTTGACCTTTAGATATGCACCAGTCGATCTGTACGAAAGTCGTGCTTAAATTTGACTATCAAAATATAGAAAATGAAAGCCTTAATCCTAACTTTGTAAAGTTCGACTTTAGCCAAAGTTCAACTTTAGTCAAGGTAAGAGCGCTGCATACAACCCTTAGCTTCCAAGGCAACCCCCATGCAACTGAGTTGTGTTCAGTATAAATGACCATTATTCACAACTGGTAATCACTATAGTCTGAGGGCACTTTTTAATAAAAATGTTCAATGTAATGTAAGTCATTTTGATTTTTAGAAAATTTCTCATGTTAAATTTTAAATGGAAACTAAAGTGGATTTTAGAAACACTGAAAAATCTACACACAAGAAATGATAATATAAAACAATATCTGATTTTAGCTATGGAGACAAAAAAGGGAGAAATAAGCACAATCTTTTACTTACATCCTGGTTTCTGTTTATTAGCTACACTAGATCTCTGAGTGGTAGTTGCTTTATAAACACCACCTCGTCTTATGACGTCTGGTGTTTCTGGTATGTTTAAAGGATCCATTAGTCCTACCATCATTAAGGAATCTAGACTAGTAAGGGAATCACTGTAAGAAGGGTGGTAGGAACGAGCATTGTTTGGTGTAGCGGCCACCACTGCCATGAAATATTTCTCTTGTTCAATACTGGAAGATGTTTCACCATGGGATGTACCTACAATTATAACAATTCAAAAATCTTGAACCACCAAATCCATTTTACATCAAATTTTTGTGGTTCAGGTAGGACAACTTCATGCAGTGAGCTCTGAGGAATCTTTTTTTTATTACATTACAGCATTAATCTATTTTTTTTTTATTTCGAACTGTTCAAGAGTCATTTTTCACCATCCATAATCGATGCACAGTCTGCAACACACAATAAGATTTACATTAAAAAAAGATATGCAGCATGGATATGGGGCATGGGCATAGGGTTTTCCACCACTGGCAACCTGAGAAATTCAAAGAAAAAATCTAAACCTATGCCAAGATAGAATCATTGATCTCCAAGTCACATATTGCAATATTTGGCTTACAGGACCCAAGTTAAAAACAAGACATTGAAGATTTCTACTGACCAGAAGAAGGATTGTGACGTAACATACCCATCAAACCACGACTATGTAAACCACTAGCTCGTAATAATAACGCTTTAGTTCTAGGATGTCGCCATGTTATAACTGGTAATCTACAAAAATCAACATATATTATAGTCTACATTTAGCTTTCAGCTCTCAAGTCCCAAGATTTGAGCTCCCTTATGATAAGTGTTGAGACAGGTGTCACTAGTGAAGCAGAGCAAGATTATTTTTTAAGGACACCTTATACCATTCTATCACTGGGTTTGTCAACTATGCCAACTTCTGTATAATGTCTGTATTGAAATGTACATCAGTAATGCATTTTGTAAATATCTAAGACTTCAACTGAAGTAAAATATAAGAACTCATAGAATCAGAATCCATAATCAATTATATGAAAAGTTTAGGTTTTACAGTACGCAATAGTAAAGGCAGAGTTTTAAGAAAGATCAAAATCTTTACCTGTACTGCCGATGGCATCTAGCAAATTTTCTTATACTTTCATCTGTTACAGCTGCTGGTACGACTAGTAAAGCAGGATAACTGAAATAGAAGCAAATAGAAGCTATGGCTGTCCCCAGAAAACCATGGCAACCACACAATCCTTTATCTTGGATTATATTCAAATTTGAAGCAGCTATGTCTGATTGTATCAAAGAATTTTTTCTAAGTCAATCAATTTCTGGTATTATCACATTAATCTTCAAATGTTAACTTTTGGTGATACAAAATCATTATGAATTTGAGAAAAAAATAAGCTCAGCAAGCATGAGAAACATTTCGTGGCCTTGGAGCCTGGTTGTAGACCACAACACTACACATTGAATTAATCATATTTACACTAGCTTACCTTCTACACACAGAATAGTTAGCATTAACAGTAGATATTCGAAATAGATCTCGATTAGATTTCTGGCCCACCATACAGAGATTGACAAATCCTAATCTTTGATAGTCTTGAAAACTTGGTCTCTCCATCAATCTTTCTAGATTCTTAGGATCATTGGATAATGATGAGGCAAATTCACTTTCATCAATGACTGAAATATAAATTGATTTGATTAGATATAAGATATTTAGAAACTGGCAAACTATCCATGAAAATGACCATTAAAGGGACAAATAGGCTATTTTTTCTCACCAATCATACTTTAGTCTCAGAAACAGGATTTTTTTTTAACTAAGCCAATCAGTTATAGTGTTCAAAGCTCACCATCGAAATTTGAGCCTTCAAATCCATGCGTGACCATGTGTGTCTAGAATTTTAAAATGATGACTTGTCAATTTAAGATACTCTGTGATATATAGAAAAGACATATATAGAAATAGTGAGAAAAATTCCTAGTTTGAAGTATTTTTAAAGGAATCATTTTCGTACAATTCTAGTACTTCTGGAGACTCTTTACATATATTCAAGACTAAAATCAACACCCCAAAATGGCGTATCTGTCCCTTTAAAAACAGCTGTGTTAGACAATGAGGAGAACATATGTCTCATAAAAGCACTGGTCTAGGTCACAAAAAAATTAAGGTAAAAGATTTAAGACAAAAACAAACTGCAAGTAAAAGAAAACTAGAAAAGTTAATTATGATGTGTCATTTCTTTCAGTGAAATTGTTGAAAATATAAGAATCAACCTTCATGGGTGTCAAGCATTTTACTACTAATTCATTTTCATTTGTTGCAAAACAAAGGAATGTTGATTAATTTGTTTGCCAATTGGACAACGACAACGCAAAATCAACAGCCCTGCAATAACATCATCTACTACAAAGACAGATATTTCTCCAAAATCTTATGTTCAATTTGTTTACCTTCTTTAGTGGCTTTATAAAAAATATGGAATATTTAAATTTTTCTAAATTCTAAACATAACATGAAGCAAACTGAAAACTGACAAAATTTAAAAAATATTTTGACACTTTACAAGAATGTTCATTTGCAAGAATGTCCATGATACAGATGGCAATAAATGAAGTTTCTATTTTAGAAAATGATGCTGAGAACTAGTGAATAATGATAACATAACACAAGCACAACATTGATGGTGACAACATCTAATTCAAACCTTCAACTCCTAGTAGCAATATAAAATAATATAACAATTTAATATATCTATTCTTTAATAACTTTTGATTTTTAAATGTTAAAAATACCTTTTCCATCAAATTATTCCAAAGAGCTTAAAGGGTATACTACCTCTTAGAATGACCAAAAAATTGAATTTTTTACACTTGGCCAAAATGAGTCTTTGTTCATCAGGGGACTTACCTAGTGTCATAACTATACAAAAGAATCTCTCTATAATCCAATAATAATTCATAAAACTAAGTAGAAACACATTAAACTAAGTACTTTTGAAACACACTTTGCAATTACTTAGTTTAAAGGATATATCGTCTTATATAGAGATTCTATTCTTTAGTCATGGTACCTGGTAAGTCCAACTGATGAATAAATACACTTGTTGACCAAATTTGAGACTTTAAATTTTGTGTCCATTCTAAGAGGTAGTATCCTTTAAAAAAAGTAAGCCTTAAGTCTGATGGGAAATTTCTTTTATGATTGAATACTTACTAGAGAGATCATCATAAGCCTCACTATTAGGTCGTTCTGATTCACTATCTGATGATCTTGGTGAAACATTACGTCGTGCTGTAGGAGGTGTGGGTAATACATATTTTTGTTTATGAGTAGATTGTTTCGATTTTAAACCAGCTTTTCGTGCCGTCTTCATTAATGTTCTCTTGGCAAATTGTCTGAAACCAAATTTTTACATTATATAAATCACATCTTCTCATTTCTTTCATTTATTGATGAAATTCATTTTGGTTATATTCACAATCAAGAACAAAATACTTCTGTGCACATGCAAGATTTAGTGATTTGGATTATCTTAGTTAGTTGTTAAATGGCCAGCAATTACAATAAGTTATCTTTTCACATCATTCCTGTTCATCCAGCTGTAAATAGGTACAATTCATCAAGGAAAGATCGTTGCAGCATTTAGCCAAAAACTAGTTGTTATGGGTTTTTGTGTTAATTTTAAGAAAGCAAAACAAAAAGTGAGTCAAAGTTTAGTGAGATCTCATATAAAGTCTACCAGCTGGACAGAGCAAAACCTTTTCGCAATGATCGGTGGCGGCGCTCAATTGGAGAGTTCTGAACAGAATCCATGTGTTCCCATTCTGGCCCAAATCAAACAGTACGGAAGCAGAATATGTGACTTTCAAAATTCCAAAATTCGCCATTTTGAATTCCTTTCTGCACTATGTTTCGGCAGATATAGAACACATACTTGACTCTTTTCTTTTTTTGATTTGATTCCATGAATTCACAAAGTGCAGAAATCCTTAACTGAGTGACCCGTTTAGTCGACAGGAATAACTGTCAGATCAGATCTAAAGAAATAATTTAATCCTACCTAAGAGAAGCATTCTTTTCTTTATGTTTATGAAGAGGTGTGGCTTCATGGATCATCTGGCCACTAAAAGCGAAGGTATTGAATATATATGGTGGATTGCGTATTTTATTAGTCAGTTTACGTAATGTTTCTACATCATCAGAACCAACTTCTTCATCGAAAGCTATCTTCATTAACTGCATAAAATTAAGAATTTTTACCAAATAAATGTCCATGTATGTACAGTCTGGATTAACATAAAAAATAACTTTTTGACCTTTCTTGATCGGTCATTCATTGGAATTCTGCTGGTAATTATAAATTAATTATGGACAAACTTTTCCTTGAAAATAAGGGAACCCATCTTTAAAGTAATGTTAACCCTGTCAAAAGAGAAATAACTAAAGAGTACCTGGAACACATTAGATCTGATTTGAAGACCTTCTTGTAACCACTGATCTAAATGTGGTAAATATTGATCACTAATCTTCTTCTCTTTAGTGATAGTAGATACAGGAAAACATCTTATTACTATCTGTTCACAAGCTGAAATAGCAAAAATAATTCCAATACACGATCAAATGACTCAGATATGGGGGGCGATTGATTGTTGAGTTCTGGATTTATGGAATCAACAGAACATGTTGGAACAGAGTTAAAAAAGTGCAAGTGCAGACAAAATTCAAAATGGCGGATAAGTAAATAGATCAGAACATTTTGAATGTTACATATCCGTTTCTGTACTGTCCTATTGGAGGAAGAATTGTTTCTTTCTGTTCTTTCCAAGTTTACATTAAGTACACAATATATTAAACCTAAACTGACTTACCTAAAGGATCACAAGGTGTACCTTTAAATATTATTCTATATGTAGTGAGGAAGACAGCACCTTCAGCTGGTAATAGTGATGGTCCACCCATATAATTACCAGTTCCTTCTTCTCTACCATCTGCTAATAAATATACACGTAAACCTTCCATAACAATCTCTTCTGATGGTAATAATGTTGGTGTCAGAAGTTTGGGCTGAAATAAAAATCATTAGTTAAATTGAATTTTTGTTTTATTTTAACGTTACATTTAGCCTTCTGAGGTTCTATAGCACAGTTGGTTAGAGCGTTGTTTCTTTACATTTTGTCATTTGCTTGTGTACATCAAACAAATGGTGGTCGTGGATTCCGATTTCAATCAATGTGTGAAAGTCTGATGAACATGAATAAGTCATCTAAACTCAATATTCCATTTGAACCAGCTATAAATGGGTACGGATAATCTGGGAAAGATCAATGTCAAGAGGTTTGGCAGAAGATCAGCCGGTAGAAAGGATCCTTAACTGTGAACCTAAGTTGTTATCCTTGTAAAATATAGTTGTTTCTTTCTTTTTTGCTAAGTTTGCTTTCCTCTTACATACTAAGTCTTGGAGTTAAAAATCTAACATTACTTCAAATGGAATTTCCTATTAATTCAATACATTTCCAAATGATAATGTGAATTTTTTAGACATAAATAAAGAAAATTGTACCTTCTGTATTGGTGGTAATCTTTTACTTTCTTTATGAACAGCTTCTAATGTTTCTATATGCATAGCAACCACACCTGTAACAAGCAACAACATAATATTCATTACAACATTTCTTTTGAATTGAATATTCATGTTCACTTGGTACTCCTGCTCAGTGAGTTCCATTACAATATTCACTGTTAGTATATTGACAACTTAGGCTTTTGGCAGTATTCAAATCAAATGAAATTCATTTAAGTTTACTTTTGGTGTAGAGATAAATCCTTATTTTTGATACTCTTTCAATGTCAGTAGCAGTAAATCTAATTTTCTCCCCCAAATCCCAATTGAGCACCAAGATCAGGGGCATATTTTTTTGAAATCTTAACTTAAATCAAGATCTGAGAATTTGCAGTAATCTACTTGGTTAAAACTAAAAATCATTTTGGTAGTTGACCAAGCAGATGAAGAGCATGGTAAGTTAATTTTTTGCGAATATGACTCCATGATAATCAACTTAAGTGTCAGTAACAAAAGAAAGATGGAGAAAGAAAGTATACCTGGTATCATTTGATATAAAGATTTTATATGTTCTTGTGTTACACCACCATCATTACATACTTTATCAACAAATCTTGTAACAAACCTAACAACATTACCACTAACATCAGACGCTTCTGATTCATCAAAACCACTTTCAGCATCAAAACTATCACTTTCCGCAATACTATAATAGAAAGTGTAATGTGTTTATAATATTACAATGGTTTTTATCTAAGAAACAACTGCATTTATATCAGCATCTGACATATCATCATCTGTTTGGCAAAACATTATCTGTTTGGCAAATCATTATCTTTTTGGCAAAACATTATCTGATAGACATATCATTATCTGTTTGGCAAAACATTATCTGTTTGGCAAAACATTATCTGTTTGGCATCTGTTTGGCAAAACATTATCTGTTTGGCAAAACATTATCTGTTTGGCAAAACATTATCTGTTTGGCAAATATTATGTGTTTGGCAAAACATTATCTGTTTGGCAAAACATTATCTGTTTGGCAAAACATTATCTGTTTGGCAAATCATTATCAGTTTGGCAAATCATTATGAGTTTATCGAGAATATTAATAGCATCAATTTGCCCCATTTCAATTTTCACAAGTTTTGACTGTGGTTCCTGCAATTCCACTAAAACTAAGTGTTAGATGCCATCAGTGACTCTGATACACATAAAAAATTTAGAAAACGTCTTTACAATCCCTTTAAAACATTTCAAAGATCTAAGATACACCCAACATTTCAATAAACTTAAAGTCAAAAAGCCCTTACCTTGCTGTTATATTACTATTACTGTTGCTTTCACCTTCAAAACCAACAGCATTTTTAAATGATTTATGAACGTCGAGGGGAACACGTAAATATACCATTCTATTGGCATAATGTATAGCTTGACTGTAGACTGTAGATTCTTCATTACTCATCAATTCATCTTGTTGTTCTTTACTTAATGTTGGCCAAATACGTAGCTAGAAAATACAGAAATAATGAATTGGACTTTTTAATCTTATTCTCATCATTGATAAATCATAATAGATTAGATTTCTCTTCCAAAACATTATAATCAGTTTAAAATGGACATATTACCATTATTATGAATTCATCAATAATGTACTTAAAAATGTCAATAACATTCATTAAGAAATGACATTTTTCAAGGCACAAGAATTTTTTATTTTGAAAAGTGATACAGATAGCTAAAATTGAGTTCCATCAGATGGTAATTTTAATGGTAAAGAATTATTTTTTATATTTTTGAAAAGTGATACAGATAGCTGAAATTGAGTTCCATCAGATGGTAAAATATACAGATTACATCATCCCTATAGCGTTTCAATTAAAGCCATCTGTAGAATTTTTTACAATGAAAATCTTATATATCATAAAAGATATACATATATACCTGTTCTGCTGCTATTTCTAGAACACCAATTTCTCGAGGACGTTTCTTATTAGTTCTTCTACCAGTTTCAGGAATAGAACTTAAAGATCGGTTCCAATTTGCATCATGATTCTGAAAGATAATATATCCAGAATCAAGGTCTTGCCCAATACTTTTCATTTCAGGCACTGGCTCAATTCTGTAAACTGCTTCAAATGTTATTTTTGGCAATGTCTCAACAATACATTTGGAGAGTCCACAAAGCTAAGAATGTTAGCTTTTTTATCCATATTTATTAGGAAAAAAAATTTCTTACATCAGCTGGTGATTGTGGTGATCTGGAACCTTCTCTTTGTTTTTCAGCTACTTTATGTTCTTCATAGAAAGGTAAATATAACTGACGTATTTGTTTCTGAACATCTTGGTAGAATGATTGTTCCCAAAACTGTAGATTAGCCCAGACGGCATGATCTTGAATACAGGTATAGGCAAACTGAATCACTCCAGTACACAGTTTCTGTAATACAACATAAATTAGATATACATGTAAATATATGTATATGTAATACTCCTGTTTTGTTATACAGGGGGAACATGGAGGTAGGGGGGTGGTGGGGGGGGGGGACATGGGGGGAGGAGGGGACTAAGGGGATGGGGGTAACTGTCACTAACTAATGGTAGTGAATTTAAAGATTCTACTTACCCGACAAAATGCAGTGGCAAGAGGTAGAATGGAAGCAGCTACACCATGTTCATCCATACTAGAATCATTCTATAATACAAATCAATTCATAAATATTAAAGTCTTTACGTAATAAGAAATATAAGTTGTAAGTATATCAAATAATAACCAACTTTTATCTTAGAGATTTTATTAAAAATTGCCATCTGTAAAGACAAATTCCAAATGGTAATATTTACAAATCTATTAATGTTAGCACAGCATCAACATAAATTAGTTCTCAAACTATCATTGCTAATCTCGCAGTAATGTTACAGTTCAAATAAAATAATCGGTACTGGTACTAGTAAGTTACAAGACAGTGGTTACCATTTACTGAGCTCAGGTACTAGATAAACATTCAATTACCTGTAAAGCACAGTTTAATAACTTAACAACCAAATCAAACTGTTGATGTTCTAACATAGCTCTATTAGATAATACATGATAACTTAATTCTTGTGTCATAGCCAATCTTGTTACTTTACTCTTTAATGCTCTTAATACTGCAGGAAATATCTGAAAAACAGAGGGATTAGAAAATAAAAAAAATGGACAAAATGTTAATGGTGAAATGTTAACCAATCACTGGCTGACTCTGTCTGTTTCCTTTCATATCACCTGATATCACTTTGTGACTTATATTTTGAGCAAAACACCTTTCAATGAGTTCACAAAGCTCATATTTTGTTTAAGTTGAGTTGATACTTTTTGGTACTTAGATTCTAAGCTCAAACAAAATATCGTCAACACAATCCATTGTAGCATTGACAATCCCTACACATCATATATGGACAACAGTGTCGCAGTCTACTCCTTCTACAACCAATTTGGGAAATTGTTCTGCAAACAAAACCAAATACTTCAGACCAAGGTAGAAATTTTTGAAAAAAGAAAACTTACAATTCTGGCATCTGATATCCGATTCTCAAAGATATAATTAATACAATTTCTTAGAACTTCTAGTCTTCTGGCATTATTCTCTACCAGTTTCTGTTTATCTATTGCTGCTGCTGGTGGTCCCATAGGTACTATTCTTGGTTGATGAGGTCGAACATTTGCAATTCTGGAAAAAGTGAATAAATTTAGTTACAGCAAAAATCAGAAAGGACAAAAACAGCATACAAAAGGCAAAGATTGACTTTTCCAGAAGAAATAGCACTTTCTGTTGTAGGCAAGGCTTGGGAAGAGAAACTTCATCCCAAGGTGAAAAACTTCCAAGGCATTTTTTTCCCTGTACATGATTATCAGGCCTCTTATATCTATTTGCACCATTCTGATTCCTGCAGGTTCCTGCATTCAAGAAAAACAAGAATAAGTTATGACGCCAATAGACGTTACCATCCCACTCTGCAATGGGCTTAATTGCATTTGTAATTATGAAAATATTGTGAAGTATTTCTGCTTGACAGTTGTCAAAAGGGGAACCAGAATGCAACAATTTTGCCAATGATGTCAAGAAAAAAACCTTTTGGACCACTTTGACAAATGAGTCGGACATGACCAAATCTGTTTCAAACAGCACCAAGAGTTAAATCAAGATCTTTGATTACTTACTTTGATTTAATACTGGATTTAGCCAAGCCTTCATCTATTATATCTTGTACCATTTTATTATTTAATGAAGGGAAAGCAGGTTGATGAGTTCTAGCATAAGCACCATCTGTAGGTTTTGGGACTTTCTGTATATAGGGTTGAGGATTGGGGAACTCCTGCAAAAACAATCAGAATAGATATATTTTACTACAATCTATAATATTTCAGGAACATCAGTTTCTGATACAGTTGAAAGCCATGCAGTGTACAATGAGAGAAATTTTGTGAAGATTGAGGGATCTTTAAGGTGCATATCCTACAGGTTATCATTATGAAGGGGGTTATTTGATATTCATCTAGAGATAAAACATACATGAAAATATAATATTCATTTTTAAATGTTATGGTGTCATTTTTTTCCCCCAGATCATAAGACCAAGATGGCAAAATAAATGTAAAACTTACATTTAAATAAAGTTGATTAGAAATATTTTTAGTGTTAAACATCATTTTCACTAAATCACTTTTTTCTTCTTTTAATTCATCTTGAATAGTTGCATAAACCTAAAATAGTAAACATATATGTAAGCTTTTAAATCCGCCATTATGTAATTTTGTCTTGCATATTAACAAATTAGGTCCAAGCAGTGCTTTCCAGGATTCAAGACTATTCAGCATCATTATATAAATTTAAATTCTGCATCTTCTTGCTTCCAATAGACCTTATTCACGTCAGCCGTATTGAATCCAGAACGAGGCCCATAATGCGAACACAAAAGATGTAATGTTATGTCACTGACGTCACAAACACTATTTCCATATATGACGTTGCCATCTTTTCAATATATTACATTATTTTGGTTATATGCGTCTCTTACTCGATGTGTTCAAAACGAAGCATGTATAAGGTCTATAGCACCAGAAGATCTTATCAACATCCTTAGAGACCACAATGCCAAGTCAGATTTTAGGTTTTTATATGTTACTTACTTCATCAAAAATATCACAGACACGATAAGGAGGACCACGTTCTCCAACAAAAGTATTAAAACTCATTCCCTCTAAAACACGATGTGTAAAATCATCTTCCATCATCCCTCGATGGCCCAGAAAAAATGCCTGAAATAAAATTTCTTAATGTTATATCAGGGTTCTAGATAGAAGTATCGTTGTGTCTGTTTGAGGTGAGAGGGATCGAAAGTCGATACCAACTATGGGAAACCTGGCATCAGAATTTTTTCCAACCTTTAGGAGGTTTCACAAACATGGCACCTAATTGCCTAGCAGACGACAATCCAACTACGTAACTAACCACATGGGGTATGTTTCATGACCTTTTTACATACCGGTCCTAAAAAAAAAAGTCTTAAAACAACTCATCAATTTCCAATTGAAAAGTTTGAAATAATTTCAGGTATAACAGTTTAAGCTCAAAGCTATCAATCCTACACACAGTTTTAGAAAATGTTTACCTTATGAAACGAGATGAATGGTTCCGGATGGATACGTATACATGTTAAACATGATCTGTAACCAGTAAATAATTCAGCAAATAATCGTAAAAACACAGCTCGGATTTCTTTATCCTGTAAAGAAAAACCAATTCACAATGAAACATTGTCACAATGTTTGTGGTCTGATCATGTTGAAATTATCTCCCTTTAGCTTCAGGACAAAATGATTGTTGCAGAAGATCAGAAAAACTCTGGCTACTCTCAGCTATTGGTTATGCTGATTCATACTTAAATAACATAGGAATAAAAATGATCCACAGTTTTAGAAGTTGACTCATCAAAGGTCAGATAGTTCTTTTAGAAAGAGATTGTATCTATTCAGATGGTCATATTACAGAAACATAATACATACCCTATGTAGAATTAATGATGGTTTTTTGGGTGGTGGAGCAAACGCATAATCAGCACTTAATAACTGAGGTGTGAGAATCTGAAATAAAGAAGTATGTATTATAGTTAAATGAAATGAATGGATTATTACATCCATTTTGAGCAAAGAAGATATGAAAGTTGCAATATGGGAAATTTTGCAAGCGTTTTCTTGATTTATTGTTCCATCTGAATGTAACTAAAGGGCCAAGAGATTTTTCATTCCATTGGATGCCACAGATCTACTTACAATAGACAGTAATTTTCTGGTTCTATTAAGTATTGTTTCTGGTAATTCTAATAATTTAACACATTCTGGTATAGTAATACTTCCACTATCTAGATCAACTATTATTACATCAAACTGAAATATAATTAGTAGAGTTTACTAATACCGTAGTCAATCAAATAAGACAGTATGTTGCTATAGGCAACTATATTTTTACTCTTAGATAAAGACTAAATGAAAGCAGTAGAAGGTTTGCGACACAAAAAATTGTTTTATAACATTAAGGAAACTATGGTGGATGGCCTAATTTAGAGTTATAATATTGAATAACTCATCTTTCCTCATTATTCCTGTCTACCCAGCTGTAATGACCAGGCATAATACGACAAAGCCTTCAAATCTTGATGTCATTTGATTGGTTGAGAATTCTGGTAATCTTAAACAAGTCCTTTTTTCATACTATCCTGTCAACCTAACAGTAAATGGGTACTGATAACCTGGGAAAGATCAATGCCAAGAGATCTAGCAAGGACCAGAGAGTACCAAAGATCATCAAAAAGTAAGTTCCAGTACAATTATTTAAATACTATACCAAAAGAGACTGCAAGAGATTTCAATACTAGAAAAAGTATTATACAAAATGCCCTCCTTTTGAAAGTTTAGTTGGTATGACTTACCAAGTCTGTGATTTCATTACGTAATGAAGAATGAACTCCAGCTATAAAGGGAGTAGGTGTGGTTAAAACTTCTAATAAATGGGCCGGTAATATTGGAATATATACATAACTACAAAAAACAAACATATATTTAACTTCAAATAGAAACAGTCTTATTGGAAAACAATCATAATTTTTTGCTCATTATGCCTACAGTCCAATCTTGAAAAGTTGACTACAGATTGCAGCAGTTGAGCCCCACAAAATTAGAGAATAAAAGGTAAGCAGGAATTATATATATATAGATATCGCTGATCAGATATGTCTATTAAGATGTAATTTGGATTGAATTCTTGAACAATTATTATTATTTGCTATTTTTTGTGTTTTATACAATCAAAATATGGCCTTGATGTCAGGAAAAATTTTATCTTGGGATAGCACTAAATATACAATATTATAACAGTTGAAAATATTGTACTGAATTTTTGAACAAATTTTGATTTGAGCAACCAACTATGAAAATATATTGAAGGTAATTTCCATAATAGATGTTGGTTGGTTCCCATACCAAATGGCCTGTGAAGACCTTTTACTCAAACAGAAATGAAAATAAAGAATAACAAACCTGTATTTGAGAGGATAACATAATGAAGTTACAGCATGACATGCTTCTGTTAAATGACAATAACTTTCTGAGAAAAATAATATCTTATGATCTGTTATAACAGCACTAAATATGGCCAATGTATTGTTGATACCTGAAAGAAAAAATTCTCACAATATAACTTCAAGCATAGTCCAGCAAAGATGTTTCAAAACATTAACAAAAACAGTGTAGGTTTTCAGACATTTCCAAAAGCAAATGGCCATTACTGCTCAAATCAACTAACACAAAGTAGATTTCATGATCCTGTTTTAATTATTGCCTTATTTTTGCTCCATACCCAAACAACCTTTTTAAACATTTCATGTTAAAGTTTTTAGCAAAATAAAGTTGTCTTTTGTTCACCTACAGATCACTTACCTAATTGTTCGAATAAATGTGCCACTGAAACTTGTGTAGCTGGTAATGTTGGACATAATGGAGGTTGAAGAGCTTGTCTATCACCAGCACCTATAGAGAATCTAACTTGTGGTCCTCCTGAAATATAGAATAATTCTTACACTTTTAATTTGTTCAGATCAAAATCAACTGCCAAAATGAATACATTTTTGTCAAAATCCATTTTTGATTCATTTTCAGTCAGAGCAAAAGAAGAGCTTGAGTCCTCTTAACACATGGACCATTGGAAATTAATGGTACTGTTTGAAAATCTGGTCTGTGGGTGTATTGGTGAACACAACATTATAAAGGTTAAACACCATCCCTTCGTATTTGACTAGATGATGAAGCTTATTCTCTGTTAGCTCTAGCACCAGACGACAGAGCAATGGTGTGATCATTAAGAGAATCATTGCACAATAGGCTTCTTGTTCTAAATAAGTGAAATTATTTCTCACCTGGTGGAGGGACTTGAACACATCCTAGAATATTACCCACCAGTGTCTCCAGCTGTACGTCTAAATTCTCTATATATACTGTATAGATAATACCTAAACAGTTCTATAATACAAGATAATCATTACATTAAACATAATATAACCAATAACATCCTCTTTTAAATCAAAATATCAATTAACATAACAAATGCCCCCAAAATTTTGATGTGTTATATTTCCTCAGAAAGTTACCTGGGTTCCAAATGTAGGGCCATATTTGCCAAAAAATGTGCACATGTAGCGTTGAAGGAACATTTTTTCTCTTCTGTCCAGGCATATTTTCGAATCTAAAGGAACTTTGTTAATCAGTTCAAAGACTATGTAAAAGATTTGCAGATCATTTCTTCTGCTGACGATGTAACCATGGCTTCAAGTATTTGACAAGCAGCAGGACATGTCATGATTGCTGTTTATAAAACTTACCCTGAATGCTTCAAAATAGTCTAGCCTAGACACAAGCAACAGACTTTTAGGTGCAAACATTAACGAATGATGAACCAATGAGGTTTCATGTTCATCACCATCTTCATCATCAGGTTTTGTTGGTGTCATGGCAACTGTTTCGTGAAAGGTGAACACAGCACAGTAATGGCGGTCGGCATCTATATCTGTTAATACTGCCACATAGAATTCTGGTTGTTTTCTTTGAGTGGATAACTTCCATCCTGATGGCTGACAGAACTGAAACAAAGCAGAATACACTATTTGGAAATGTTGCACAGACAACTAAAAGAATTTAAGAGTTTTCTGTATCAGGGAGTCTTTGGCCATTGACCCAACCCTGATTGTCGTGGCTTTACTTGAGAACCCAATTGTATGAGGCTATGTCTTGTTATAAACTTCTTTAATGTCCTCCACAAATCAACAAGAAATATTGTTTCAAATTTTGAACTTATAAGACATAAGGTCATCTTATATGAGTTTGGCAAGTATACCAAACAATTTTGGACATGGAATTTGGAAAATGTTCTACTTCAAAATGACGTAAATTTAGCGTGGAGGAGTGAACTTCTGCAAAATATAAATATTGCACAACTTAGTTTTGGGTGACGCGACAAAACAATAGGATATTTTTGGTCCAAGTATTGGAGACAGGATATGGTCACTGATTGTTGACAAGATCAACACTGAGGCTTCTACTTGCAATATTTTACAGACAAATATTATTTACTATGTTATTAAGTCAATATTTGTAACTCTCGTCGGCTTGGTAGAAAAAAAATATTTCAGATACTCGGACTCGGCTAAACTGCAACCAACAGATTATATTCAAACCTTGTTTACTTTAGAAATATTTCATCTATTTCCAAGTGATAGGTTTTTTTTTATCTGTTACATCGTTCTGAACACACAGCTAATCATCAAAAACAAACAAACGTTTTTTTTCCCACAATATATTCACTTGCAAGTTAAGTCTGGCTTAATTCTCTTTTTTTTTTGGCAAAGTGCAAAGGGTTACATTATGCAAATATTCAAAGATTGTATGTCAACAATGGTGAAGAGGTGTAAGACATGTTTTCGAACAAAACTTTGGGAAATAAAAAATAAATAAATCAGTATCAACAAAGATTAGTATTTACACACAACAAAAGGTCGTCATTTTTTGTCGACCCTATTCAATTTTTTCTCTTAGTCAATCACTGATAATATCAAGAGTTAACAGTTTTACAGACAAAAAAAAAAGAGAGGCGGAAAAAAAATGGCAGCCATTTGCTATTTGAATAGGACTAAGAGTCACTCAGTTCTTTAAACATTAAAGTTTAAGCTTTAGAACAATGTGTTTAGTTCATTGATTTTGTGTTTGAAAAGATGTCCAAATACTAATCGAACACAAAAACATTGTGTATACATGCAATTTTTGTTTGAACTTCATTCCAACATTTAGTCTTAAAACTGTTTGATTTTTACAATCAATAGAAATTTGCTATATGTTTTCACTAAATGCACCCAATCAATTAGTTCTCTGGTCCTTAACAAAAACAAAGCTTAAGTTTAGGGACAACATTTCAAATGAATTGAAATAGAGATTTAGGTCCAACTTTTCTACTACAATTATTCCATCTCATTAGTACAAACCTTATTTTATTAAGGATTCTTCAGAATAGTGAGAAAATAAAGAAAGAAACTTTTAAAAAAAAAAAATATCCATTTTTAAGTCGCCATAACATATTATAGTGTATGTTAAATTCAGCACTGTATAACATCTAGAATTTATAGAATTCATCAATATTTTCATCCATATAGTGATTAAGGTGGTTGAAAGGTAACAAGATAATATTCAACAGAAGGCACTGGCACAGGATTAGTGTTTGATTTCACAATTTTATTAAAATGCATCAAAAGATATTTTGTCTTTTTTTTTTTCTGTAGGTGATTTCACTTTCTATCTATGATCTGATGAAATTGTTATGCAACACATTTACCAGGTGCAAAAAAGATTTCACTAGATCATAGATGACAGATTGAGCCACTCACAGAAAAACTATGAAACAAAACATTTACGATGTATTTTGACCCGATCAGCAAACCCATGAATACACTCAAGAAAACTAGGATCAAAAACATCCACATGGAAACAAGAAATCTACTTACCCATTCTATTCCTTGTGTAAATGGACAGCCATCCCAGTCTTTCTCTGGGAAACGTTGTAAGATCTTGCCACAGCTTGAACCACTTCCTGCAATATACAGAAATCAATAGGTAAATAACAGAAAAACTGGAGCAGACGATAAAATTTTCAAGGACAGTTTAAACTCTAAACCAATTCTAAAAAATTATTAATTTTTGTGTCAGAAAATGTCTTGTAGTTATAATATCATAACATTTTATATTTTTTTTCAGACATAACATTTTGATTTTGTCATTGCATTGCAATTTTAAGTGCTTGGATTGTAGCTAACAAAGCATGGGTGAAAGGTCAAAATTATACAATACAATCATTCACTATTCCCTTAGCCTAATTCATGTTCATGTCCTATTTTCTACTCATGTTCGGCAAAAGTGTGCATTAAGGACATTCTTTAAAGATAACCTCATTTTGTGAATTTTCACTGTCAAGAAATATTTAACATTGTACCCAAGGCAAAGTATATTTTTCAAAGGATCCATCCTATTCTAGTGTCAACCTGCAGATCTCCTGGTTCGAAAGCATCTAACTTGCTGGTCTTGTCTTGTAACATTTTCATATGCAATGAAAATAAAAATGTCTGACTCAAATAGATTTCATGAAACAAGTGGGCAAAATGACCTTTTTTTTCAAAAGATAGATAATTTCAGTTTAAACCAAAGTTTTCCAGACAACTAATTAAAGCAAGTGTTTTATGGAGAGAAAATAAGTTCAATTGGAAGGCTAGAACAATCATTTGGTCTTATTATAAATGATTTATAGGCATGTACAGTCTTCCAAACAATTAGTTGTCTTAAGGCTGATTGTTAAAACAGAAGTTATCTTTCTCTCACCAATCAATTGGTCATAATACAATATAATTTCATTTTTAAATATTTTACACTTTTGCACAAAAAAGTTTGCCATCTTGATTTTTTTATTTGACGTTGCTGTAAACTTGGCTATAAATCTGTATTCAGATCTTTTGGTATCAAACATGTCTACTATATACAGAGATGTAAGTGACCATTGAATTCATTTCCGGAACTTCTGCGAAGCGTAGGCAGCGAAGCGTTTCGGGCTTCTTATCCAGAAAAGACATAAATTTGCAACAAGAGCAACCCATTTCCGGAATTCCAGAAATTTTTGAAAGTCTTACATCTCTATACATACCAAAAAAAATACTTTATTTTTTTCGTTCTAGTTCTAACCTAGAATTGTTACAAATATACCTGAAGCCATGGTCAGTGTTTTTTTGACCTGATCCTGCATCATATGATAAATAACAAACATCTTAATACAAAAGTAAATTTGGGTTTCAAAACGTAGCATTCCTTTAAGAGAATCCACAAAGCAAATAATGTCAATTACTAGAACTAAGCAACTAAGCTTATATAAAATTTCAGACTTAAAAGGTGTTAGTTTTCTTTAAGATAATGGTTCCTGGAAATGATTCTACAGTAAAAAAAAAACGGTAAATAGTGAATGTAAAGTTCAAGATAGCAGTAGATAATACATCTGGACTCAACTAGAAGGTTATCTTACATAAAACATTCTCACAAAAAATGTAAAAAGTCATTTTTTATATAAATAAATTTGGTATTTTCAGGATAAGTATGCCATATGTTGTTCTATTTTGAAGCATCAAATTCACATCTGACAAACATTGATTGTACTTACAAAAATTTAAATTTTTGATTCATAATCTGCATGCTGTTTCACCTAAGTCAATATATTCGTCAAATTAAGAAATGATTTTTCTAGTCTAGTTTTTTGTTATTTGAATGTTATACTGAATAAAATGCAAGGGTTAGATAACTTGTCTGCAACTCTTAAAATCTATTAAACTTTTAACAGTACAGTATATGGAAGCATACTTAAATTTAGATATCCTCTACCTTTTAAGGCACAATGCTGCATTTTTTTGGGAGGTTGTTTTTGGTATTGAATAGATGTATATAGTCTTGAAAAGTACTAAAAATGTATGAAAATCGCATAATTCCTTTAAAAATACAAACTAAGAATTTTACTCACTATTTCTATATATGTATTTTCTATATACCACAGAGTATCTTAAATTGACTTGAGTCGCCCTTTTAACATTCAAATGTAGATAATTCTAGACACAGATGGATTTGACGGCTAAAATTTTGATGGTGAATTTTGAACATTTTACAGATTGGCTTGGCTACAAAATTCCCGTTTCTGAGACTAAAGTATTATCAGTAAAATAAAACGGCCAACCTATCCCTTTAAGATTAATTTTTTTTTATAATCTTGTAAATTGAATAAAATCTTCCCTACTGAGAATATAATTCATGAGGCAGCAATAGACATTTGTTTCATATTATTTAAAACATTGCCCTTGTTTAGCCCAAATTTTTTTTCTGGCCTTAGCCCAAAGAAATTTCTATATCATGGGCTACAAACACACCTCCCTCCCTCATACACCAAGTTCACACATCTACTGCAAATTTTCTTCTAAATTTTGCCTTATCATATAATACGAAACTTTCTTGGTATTTCAGTATTTTTACTAAATTTTAAACCAAATCACGTTTAATCAAGATCAGTTAAAACAAGTCTCAATTTAATTATTTGACCAAGTCTAAAAATGTTTTATTAATTAACCTTACTATCATCAGCTTATGTTTTAAAATAATTACAAAATTTCAAAGAAGTAAAAAGGCCAAGGTTTCAGTTTGATCTTCAAAATTCTAATGAAATAAATATTTCTTATGAATCGTTGAGGGGAATGGAGTTTTACATCCTATTTTTCTGCACCATGTGAGCTAATGAAGACGGGCAATGCCATGCAGGGTACAATGAGGGAAATTTTGCCAGGACAGTGACATTAGCCTGCTCTTTTTCGATTTTCAACTGAAACATAAGGTTAGAGACATAATATGCAAGTTAAACATATAGCCATTATGGGTTCTAATTTGGGTCAGCATGTCGAAGTCTGGCGACCTTGCATAGTCATCTTTCCTCAATATTCAAGTCTACCCAGCTGTAAATCACTATCATTATCCAAGAATGATCAATGCCAAGAAACAAGCTGATATTGTTATTCTTTGAAAATATGGTTGTTTCTTTCTATTTAATATCATCAAACATATGTCAGTCCCTTTCTTTTATAATTGATCAAAAATCGTGTTGTTGGCTTTTCTTAAAAGATTTATTTCAAATTCAGTTTAATCATCCTCTTTAAGATGTCTTCGACAAAATGAAAACTCCATTAAGAGAGAGTTGAGTGTTTTTTAAATTGTTTTTTTGTCTTATTGATTTAAGAGTATTTAAGCCAAATGACTAAGGAATATGAAAGTAGTCTGAATTTCAAATGTCAGACTAAAAGAACCACAGTAATGATTAACTAGACCTCATTATTAAAAAATCTTTTATTTATAAATCTATCAGTATTGCTCTCTCTCTCTCTATCTGTCTTTTCTTTGTTTTCTGATATGACATTAACTTTACTCAGAAAGGGATTCAGGAAAGGTCTTTGGGTCTTTACATATTTTCAGTGGGTACATGGAGACATTTGTAGCTTAACTATGGCACTATTTCTATTCCATTT